CCCCCTTTCCTGTCTCCTGGTATAATAGAGGTCAGATCAAGTGACGTGATGTCAAGGCGTGGGGTGACGTGACTGTTTTCTTTCGGCTTGTGTGCTTTGGTTTTTGTGTTGTGGATTTATTGTCCTTTTCCGTTTGTTAATTCATTTATTGTTTTGCTAGTATTTGTTCAAAATGTCTTCTTCTTTTTGCTGGCTGACTTGATTTATTTTGATTTGTTTTCTTATCTGGTATTCAGCCATTTGTGGTTTGGGGGGGGGGGTGTATTTTTAACGTGCCCTTAAATTTGACCATTTAGGCTTATTGGCGTATTCGACTACAGCGAGGATTGTAATGCTGTCCTTCATTTGGGATTTTGACCCCCCGGGGCAGTGCCAGTGACTGAAGTGTCTTTAGGCCATTCCCAAATGGGGGACATATCTCATTCAAGCATAGTAGAATTGTAAATGGGCTGACGCATGCCACGCTCATAACTGTACCTGATCTACAACAGGGAACTGCTGCTTTTTCTTTCCTGATCCTTACTATTGTCATTTTCCTCTACTTCTTTTGTTTGTTTGTCACTCTCTTGTGACCTGCTATTTTGGGGTGCCTTGATAGTCGAAGAGGACCTTGTGCTGTTGAAGCTAGAGAGGTGAGCAGTCCAAGTCTTAGTCCTTGTAAAGACTTCTCTGTTGACACCCACCCCTTGGCGCTCCTATGAACTTATGCAGTTGCGAGCGCCTTAAAAAAACCCTTCTACTATAAAAAAAAAAATATTTTTAAAAAAATTGAGATTTGTGGCGAAATCTACTGCAGCAAGAATTATGGGGTTTTTGTTCAATATTTGGTTTATTTTTCATCAATTTTATTTGTTTTTCCAATTCCGACTTATAGGCCTACTTACGTTGTCATGTCTATGAGTGACCTCACGTTAGTCAGATATACTAAGTGGACACAGGACTCTGAAACTTTTTGACGTCATGGTTAACGTAGACAATGAGAATAGAAATGATTAATTTAGATTTACATTGGTAAATTTCATTGTCT